GGGGAATGAGCCAGCGGGAACTTTTTCGGGAAGCCCCGCTGCTCCAGGAATAGCTGCGGCATGCCAAGGCGCTGCCCTTTGCTCGCGCCTGCGGGGCTGGGCAAGGGCCACACCCGGCCCTGCCACTCACCCCCTGCTTTGGCCACCCCAGATCCAGGCACCCCCCCGCTCCCACATCCACCCCCCTGGGACCCATCTGCCCCAGGTACCTGCATCCTCCGGGCACCCACCCGCTCCAGGCAGCCACCGGCTGGGGGGGCCATGGGCTCCAGGCACCCATGCTGCAAATGTCGCCAGCAGCACCCGTCCCTGAGCTGGCAGCCTGCAGCAGCAGGGGGTCATGCTGGCAGGAGGATTGGGGGGACGGCTGGGCTGCCTGGCACCCATGTCCCTTCAGCAGGAGGGTGCTGGGCAGGGGGCATGTGTGGCCCAGCTCCGGGCTGGGGTGCTGGGTGCCTGCTCCCAGCCTGGTCCCGTCTTGGTGGGGCGCTGGCCCTGTGTTTTGCTGTGGTGGCTGTGGTTGACATGGAGACCCTCCAGCTGTCTGCTCATGGGGTGCCAGGCGGTGGGGGTGCTCGTTCCCTTTTGGGGGGGGGGGGGGGAGGGGCGAAATCTAGGGCTGTCGTGAGCTCCCGGCACAGCAGGTCCTGGGGTCAGGGGCAGCAGGACCGCCAGTTTCCAGTCCCCAGGACACGGACAGCGTCTCCAGCTAACAGGGTGCCCACACTGGTGATTCAGGAGCTGGGAATCCGGCTGGCACCGAGCACCTGGGCCCCATGCACGGCTCACAGTATGTCACGTTGCTCCTAAGGCTGCACACCCATCACTGGGAAGACAGGATCCTTCTGGGAAATGATGCACCAGCACTGATGGAAGCCCAAAACCCCACTGCCATACCCAGCACACAGGGGACCCAGCCAAGGGCAGGAGCTACCCTGATCCGTGCCAGGCCCAGGGGTCCCACCCCCTGGATGTGCTCAGGCCATGCCCCTCCCGGGGCTGGCAGGCAGCTGGGTCTGCCCTGCCACCGTGCCAACTCCAGCACCCCTGTGCAGCGCTGTCACTCAGGGACATTGGCCCCCAACATGGCACCAAGGGCTTGTGCCTTGTTTTCTGTGAAGGCTGGGTGGTGCCAAGGCGGCGGAGCAGCAATGATGGGGGGGCTGCAGCTTGGCTTACACCAGTGACTCACCCCAAAGACACCCAGCCTTTGAGAAGTGTGCGTGTTCCCCTGAGCACTTGCACCCCTGGGCAGTGTGGGGAAAGCTGCAGGCGGGCCAAGCCGTGTTTCGGGGCGGCCCCTACTCACCTGGTGCCCAGAGTTGGGGCACCCCAGGGCAGCACCCCCCTGGGGAGCCCGTCCCTGCCCCTTGGCTTCCACCCCAGCTCCTCCCGGCTGTGCCCAGCTCCCACCCACCCAGCCCCCAGCTCTGCCCTGGCTTTGGCAGGCGCCGGGTTTGCCTGGCCCCGGACCAGGGTGCAGGGTGCAGGGTGCAGGGTGTGGATTGCGGGG